TGTGTGTGGGGGTCTTAGGAAGGCAGCCACAGTAGCTGTGTTACTGCAGCTACACCATTCAGATGACAGCCTTCATAGCACTGTCCCTGTCCCTGGACCCTTACAGTCTTTCTAGTCCATCTGTAATGTTTCCTGAGCCTCGGCAGAGATTACACTCACTGTTGCACTTAGGGACAAACACTCAACAGACACTTGCTCTCAACACTTGGCTAGCTATGAAGCCTGTGCATCAACTGTGGCTCTGCAAAACAAGCTTCTCCAACAGACAGCCAGCAGCACCAGTCTAAGGCAATAAATAACATACTTAAAAGGCTGTTTAGCTGTGTGGCCATTTAACTTTACAGTATGTAAGTAAGTTTACAGTATGAGGTATGAATTCTTCCATTAGAAGAGGCCACAGATCCAATCAGGAAGAGCCGACGTCAACCTGCAAGCCCCACCCACCTGAGAACAAGTCTGGAATGCTGGGAGTTGTAGTTCTTGGACAACATGATTGCCACATAAGAAATATGGTGGCCTTATTGTTTTGCCCTTAAAAAGCCCCTATAACACATAACTCATTGCCACTCTCTGGAACTCCAGAGAGTGAATCTAACCAGTGTCCATCCTGGTCAGTATTTAATTAAAGCTTGCTTCAAATCTGGCTCAAAATTGTGGAACTGGTTTTTCTCTCATAAATCTCATGATTAACATTGGTTATGTCTAAAACAATCACAACACTGCTGTTATACCAGTGGGCACATCTTGCCTGAAAGGTCAGTATTGCCACACTGTACTTAGTCTTTAATATACGTGTGTGTGGGCACATATGCATATACATATGGAAATGGAAAATTTGCCTCTTGATAAATGATTAAGGAACCTCATTCATACTTCTGCTCCCCCCACCCCCCCCCCCCGTTCTCTTTTGACATGGACCATCCATTCACAAAGGGATAATTAGACTCTCCTTTCCTTTACATAGCAATAACCAACTCAAACAAACTGTGTTAGCTATTCTTTTCCTTCAGAAATAGCTTACTTACTCAAGGATTTTTATAAGTGGTTAACGCCAAAATATTCCATGGCTGAGCTAATCTAGAGTAGTGTAGAGGACCAAAACCAAGGCCACTGAAAAGAAGGAGCCACTTGGGACCAGAAGCTTAGAACACAGTATTCTACAGTGAGTTGTTCATAGTGAATTCTAATCATGGCAAGAACAAAGACCTAATTAAGGTCACAAACAGTTCAGATTACCAGAAAAGCACTCCATACATTTTAACTGTTCCCAACTAGTGATGTAGGATGTAAAACCATGCCAGGAAGTTTGATAAGGTTGAGACCGGGAGACTCAGTGGGCACACACCTGAGGTTTAGGCAACTCCCAGCTCCCTGCCAGACTCCTGACTTGGAACAAGTGCCATGCTTCTCACATAAAAGAAATGTGTCCTATGGCCACATAGTCTCAAAACAGTGTTCTCCATGCTAATGACGTACCAAGATGCCTGGAAGTCTTAGACAATAAGCGTCCCTTCCCAGACATTCCTCCCTGCAAAAGGTATTTAATCTCAGGCCCACCTTGAGAAGTGGGGCATGGTTTATGCATCTACCTTCTACCATGACAACAAACTGTTTGGAACCATGGACTGTCTCTTTTCACCACCATCTGCCATGGGAAGTCATGAAGAAGGCCTTCACCTATAGAGCTGCAGCCTAATCTCCCATAGAAGGCCTTTCTGTGCTCCCAGCCACCAAGCCTACCTCCACCAAGCTAAGGACAATCATCTCCCTGCTGGGACAAGCCAGAGCTTTCCTTGGCCTCAGGGTAGACGCTATCCCCAGCTGTCGGCCCCCAACTCTGTCCTCTGCTCTTCCACAACTCCCAGCTATGCTTGGATGTCCAAGAGTCTGAGAACCCCACAGCCCCAGCCTCATCATAGGCCTGGGGACCCTGAGCCACCTCCAGCTTTCCCATGTCTTAGACTGCACTTTCCCATCTCTGAAATGGTGCTTCTTCACTTCCCTGGGCCTGTACCTGCCCAGGCAGTGGCTGGGTTAAGTGCGGTCAAACTCCCCGTGTTGCCTTCCGTCTCCTCAAGTGGCTGTGCATGGTGGCAGAGCAGATGAGGTCCTACAACCCTACAGAGCCATATAGTGACAATTACATCTACTTTCTGTGTTTGGTCGTGGTGGAAAGCAAAGTACAAGAATCTGCCAGTAGCATGCCATTTCCTCCCCAGTTGTGTCAAAACGCCAACTGAGGTTTTGTTTGTTGTTGTGGGTAAGAGTATGAGTTTGGTCCAACAGTGAGATCAACCACATGAAGATGTTCTGTTCTAAATAAGCATCCATGAGATTGCTATACTACAGAAACCCAATGTGCTACATCATGCAGTAAGTCTGTCAAAGTCTACAACTGCTGTACAAGCAACAGGTCCTACCAGACTGCAAATGACCAACAGCTGTTCAGCTTCAGTCTATAATCTGTCAGAGTCTTGGTGACAGTAGCACAATGCTGGTGAACATAAACTAGTTTTTGCTATGTACAGTGGGTAGATGTTGGGTAGCAGTGGTGGGCATAAGAGCACAGAGGTGGGAACTTTCCTCAATAAAGCCAGTTATACAGACGAGAAAATTATCTAAGAAATGTTATGATCTTGGTTTCAAGCAGTCTTTTGACTTCAAAGTTTCTAGCTTCCAGAAAATGTAATTTCTGTGGAATGCCTACCTGGCAGTCAGAGTAACAAGCTCCACCTATCTGGGGGAGTGAATGAAGTTCTGAGTAAATGTGTACTGTTGACCGGACCACAGCCATGTTAAAGACCCCAGTGCTTTCCCCTAGTCATAATATGTATATTGGTCACATTTGTGGAAAATGCTGACCACAGCTTCCTCCTCCCAGAAGTCACACACCTAAGACCTTCCGCCTACAGAGACACCTACAGAGATTAGCTAGGCTACCTCCTCATTCAGCTATATACACTAAATCTGTTGAATTCCCAGCCCCTAGTGTACACCATCAACATACACAGTGGTGCATCTGATCTGAGCTTTTCTCTACATCTGTCTGTCACTCCTAGCCCCTCAGCAAGTCAATCTCAAAGCTGTGCTGCTCAAGTCAATCAATCATATCACCTTTGCTAATGAGGTTGTTACAGTTATATTCAAAGGAATAATTCTAGAATAGTTTATATCTACCGAAAATCTACAATGCCAATGAGAACTCAAAGCAATATTGAAATTACTGACTTTTCATAAAGAACAAAGGGGAGGCTAGTGTTGTAGTTGAGTAGTTCTAAGACAGAACTCTTCTGATTAAAATTGTTTATGAAGATACTGCATGGAAAATTCTACAATATGTTACTCAAGTCATCTATGAAGTATATATCTTAACCATGGCCTCAACCTCTATCACATTATTTATATGTGCGTATAGTAAAAATAGACTAGTATAGTGATTCAAGATAAACACATAAAGTAAAAGAGAAAGCAGTTGATGAAAGTCTTCAATAAAAGAAAATGTATTGAACATTTTAACTTTGTTTTCTTTCTGGCCCCAAGAGCACTGAGGCTGGGGAATGTGTACCAATACTTAGGATGTTAAGTGGAAAAGTTGAGGCACCACAGTGTTGCCTGGACCCAAACCCATGAAATTACCTGCTGTTCTGGAAAAACCTAGCCAGTTAAAGTACAAGGTTAAAAAGTGGTCTCATGTCCCAGGAACTTAAAGAATGTCTGGTATTTCCTGGAAGCTGGTTATGATAGTGGAATAGCCTTAAGCAATGATCTTTGCCTAAACTTCCCATTTTTTGCTATGCCTTATAACCTGCTGTCTGAAATTAAAATTTGAGAGCTTGATCAAAATCTTCGACTTGCTCTCCTTCTTCATGTCTCTTGTCCTTTCACTTGTCTGTTCCCCCACCTAGGTTCTCACTGAATTCCGCACAGGTCAGGGCACAGTGTATTATACTTTCCCAGGACAAAAGAAGCAACGTGGTTGGAATAATCCACCAAACACAAACAGCTTTAAAATTCAATTTCCTATCAAATCCAGTGAGACTCTTTCCATATTACCTTGATGAAAGCTTGGAAATCAAGTCACCTCTTTGAAATGATTCAGCCATTGGTTACAAAATATCTGTACTGAGTGTAGACAGAAACCAAAGCCCTGTCGTGGATCCACCGGAGAGGTGAGTCGAGGCCCCTTCTTGGCCTACTGAAGTGTACATCTTATTTCTAGATGACTGAATATCAAGGAGGATGCTAGCACTTACTCTGCTTACAGTTCCTATTGAAGAGAAACAGAGTTATAAACAAATAGCTTTATTTATCCTAGCTATTACTACAGTCAGCCAACTGCTATCAAGCCATTAGGAAACTTTTCTGCCAGTGGGATCTGAAATAAGAGACTATCCGTGTAAATGGTGGAACACTGAATGCGCAGGTGAAAGAGAGATTTGTCAAAAGAACATTCCAGTAAAATCAAGGACAAGGGGGTAGAATGAGTGACTCCAACCAACTGCTCTGGAAACATGGAGACTAGTTAATAGAGTTAGATGTCTGTAATATTTACCTGCTTCTATTGAAACCACGCCTCATTGTTCTAGAAGCAGACATTTAGCAAAATCCAGGATATGCTTAAAAATCACTTTCCATTTCATGCAGTCTCCTGCAGAGCTGGCCTTCATAGTCTTCACATTGAGAGTGGCATTGAGGGCTACTATATTCATGGTACTGCGTTTTACTTTAGAGCTATAGGAAAAATACCCAGAGTCCCTTGCCTACAGCTAGGAGAGAAAAGAGTCTACATGTTTTCTAGAGTCAAAATCTCACCCACAGCAAATGGCAGCTGGCCCAACAATGGGACTGAATTTTAGAATACTATAAGTTTTAACTTATTTAAATGTATGTATGTCTTAGTTACTTTTTTTTTTCACTTAAGCAGTCTTTAATGAAAGCCCTGCATGAGATGTCTCTACTCTTGCATCTTCTCGATCGTTTCTTCCTTGTATCTGCCCTTCTCCTTTCCTACTTGCCGGGACTTGGCTTTCCTCTCAGGATCTTCTTGCGGTCCTTGTCCAGCTTTAGCCTGGTGATAACCACCTTGCTGGGGTGGATGCCCACATGCACAGTGGTGCCGTTAGCCTTCTCTCGCTGGACTCGCTCAATGTAGATGACGTATTTCTTCCTGTACACTTGGACCACTTTGCCAATCTGCTGGCCTTTGTAGTGTCCTTGAACAACCTGAACTTCATCATCCTTTCGAATGGGCATAGACCAAACATTATACTTCTGTCTCAGTTCTTTGGAAAGAGGGGAAGACATGATCTTCCTCCAAATGTGAGAAGGTGCATTGAAATGCCATTTGTGGTTCTTGCTTCGGTCAGAAGTCATGAAGGGATTGAGTTTCATTTTGGCGGCTGCGATCCACTGATGGCTGTCCTTAGTTACTTTTCTTTTGCTGTGACAAAACACAATGACTAACGCAATGTTGAGTAAAAAGGACTTACTTGGGGCTCAGGGCTCTAGAGGAATAGGAGCCCACCACCATCACAGTGAGCAAGTGAGAGCTTCTCAGCATGCACCACAGTTGGCAACTTCATTGGGGAAGAGTGAGTATTCAGAGGACAGAACTCAAAGATGATTTTCTTCTTTAATTGCTCCCCACTATTTTTTGAGACATAGTCACTCTCTGAACCAGGTAGAAGTCTCTGTGATCCTTTGGTCTCTGCCTCTCCTGTGTTGAGATTATAGGCATGTGCTGTTGTGTTGGGTTCTTTAATAAGTACTGTCAATCAAACTCATGTTCTCCAATTTGTGTGGTGAAGACCTTACTGACTGGGCATTTCCTTTGGACCTCTTACATGAAGCTCTAGAGGAAAAAGTGGACTGTGATAAGTGTATAGGAACTTATCATAGTCCTTTCCTGCTTCTAAATGTAGGAAAGGATTTTGTTTTAGCTTTGTACTTGGTTTTTTTTATTTTGTCCTAAAGATCTTAAAGATGTCCTAAAGATGGGAGGCAATTGGCTTCACTTCAGTGCGGTGTGATTTTATTTTACCCTTCCACTCACCACAGGATCTGAGGATTAAAAGGAGGGAGGGAGAGAGAGAGAGAGAGGGAGAGAGAGAGAGAGAGAGAGAGAGAGAGAGAGAGAGAGAGAGAGAGAGAGAGAGAGAGGATTTTATACTATTAAAAAATGTGCATCCTGGGCTAACTTAGCAAAGAAAAAACTTAGATAATTACAGCCTGTGGACCTTATTTCTGTTTGGAAACCCTGACATAGTCTGACTCTTCTAACTCTTGCTGTGAATTCTTCATACGACTATAGACACACTACCACTATTGCCTGGTTTCTCTGCACATCAATTATCCCTTTGAGCCCTCGCTGCATATAATTTACTCTGATGATTCCTTTCCAGATCTTCTGCACCACTGTTTTCTGATCTGCAATTCCAGGGCTAATAACTGATTCTTTGATGTGTGCCCACATGTTCTCTCTCTCTCTCTCTCTCTCTCTCTCTCTCTCTCTCTCTCTCTCTCTCTCTCACACACACACACACACACACACACACACACTTTATTCAGCTATAAAGAAAATGAAATTCTGAAAGCTGCAAGAAAATTGAAGTGGAATATATTATACTAAATGAAGTTACTGTGCTGGATAGTTTCATGTCAACTTGACACAAGCTAAAGTCATCTGAGAGTAGCGACCTTCAATTAAGAAAATGCTTCCATAAAATGGGGCTGTAGGGAAGCCTGGAAGCATTTTCTTAATTAGTGATTGATTGGGAAGAGCCCAATGTATTGTGGGTGGTGCTATCCCTGGGCTGGTGGTCCTCAGGTCTATAAGAAAGCAGGCTGAGCAAGCCATGAGGAATAAAGCAGTAACCAGCACCCCCTCCATGACCTCTGCGTCAGCACCTGCCTCCAGGTCCTTGCCCTGCTTGAGTTCGTGTCCTGACTTCCTTCACTAATGAACAGCAATATGGAAATGTAAGGCAAATAAACCTTCTTGTCCCGAACTTGCTTTTGATCATTGTGTTTCATCACAGCAAGAGAAACCCTAACCTAATAACCCAGTTTCAGAAAGAAAAACACTGCATCTTCTTTCTTATGTCTGGATCATAGCCTCTGGCTACTGAATATGTGTATTGAGTTAGGAGTAAGTGTGGGTAGAAGCCAGAAAATTAGAAAGGGGCTCACAAGACAGAGTTAAAAGAAGCTACTGTATCTGAAGACACAGTGTGCTCATATAATAAAATAAATCTAAAAAAAGAAGGGGTGGAGGCCATACATGGTGGTGGGCTCCTTAAAACCCAGCCCTCAGGAAGCAGAGGCAGGTGGATATCTGTGAGTTTGAGGCCAGCCTGAGCTACATAGAAAGGAACCAGAGCAACATAATAGAACAACCCTGACAGGGTGAGGGTGGGAGACGAGAGAACAACTTAACATGTGCCATCTGAAAGTGGAAGGGAAATAAACGAAGTTTCTCTAATGAACTTTCTAGAGTACAAATGTAATTGTCTCAGGATTTTCTTTAGATGGACTTCCTGCTACAGTTGGTAATCCCAACCTGACGTTTCTTCCTAGTCTCTGTGGAAATCCCTCAAAAATGACAAAAAGAGGGTCCGAAAGCTGGGTGTTCATGAGTGTGTGTGCGTGTGTGTGTCTGTGTCTGTGTGTGTGTGTCTGTGTCTGTGTGTGTGTGTGTCCAATGTTGGAGATAGAGTCCACAGCATCTTATATACCGAGAAAGGTTTAGTCAATTCCTAAAATCCTTTATATTTTAAAACACTAATGCATTCACTACCTTTGTAAGGTTAGATACAGGAAGATCCTTCATATCAGATTCATTTATTATTTCACTTTATCGATATGAATGTTTGCCTGAATGCATATTACATGCATGCCTCATGTCCTCAGAGACTAGGAGAAGGTGTCAGATCCCATGGAACTGCATGGTTGTAAGCTGCCGTGTGGTGACAGGAACCAAATTTGGGTCATGTGGAAGGGCGACAAGGGCTCTTCCACCTCAGCCGTTTCTACATTCCTCTTTTACATCTTTTGCTTGGTTTTCTTTATTAAAAATATCTTTTGTGTCTAAATTGGCATTGATATAACTCACGAAGCATTTTCAAATCCATCCATTCTTGATACATTTGTTTCCTGTGTGCATGTGTGTGCACTTTCTGGCATATATACAGGCCATAGTTTTTTAAGCAGCATCTCATCTAGCCTGTGCCTACTTCAAGTGCATTATACAGTAGAGGACAACCTTGAACTCCTGATATTTCTCTTCCAACTCCCCAGTGTTGAGATAGTAGGCGCGTCAAATATCTATATATCTGATTAATTTTTAGTTTTAGTTTTCTATTTTTACTTCCTATAGAACTTCTTGGTTTGACCTAAGAAGGAAACACTGGGATGAAGGAGCAGTGTTCTGAACTACTATAAACACCATTCCTCTGGCTTTACATTTGTTTAGCTCATGGGTGGGGGTTAGTGGGCAAACAAACAAACATCCTGCCTTTGCCAAGAAAACGATGGGTTTTCATGTGTCTGACGCACACATAAACATATGTCAGCTTTTTCCTGTTCTAGGAGTCACGATGGAAACGCCTGGCTCCAGGGAGACGCGCTGACTGCTGTGCGCATGGGACAGACTTTTGCACAGGAAGCAACTGTGGACAGTCCCAACCCTGCGTTGCTTTCTTTTCTGAAACAGATGCTCTCCAGTAGATTCCTCTTCATCTCCTTCTCTATAAGCAGAGGAGGAGCGAGCATGTCATCCTATCTGCCCGTCTGTGCAGAAGGTGAAGCAGAGGTGAGCATATTTTCCTTTTCCCACTGTGGCTACGTTAGTTTCCACAAATGGATTTTTAGTGAGTGAAAAATACACTTCAAATTCCTGTAATTTTTTTTATATTCAGTACTTGGCATAATCCTAGCCAGTTGTGACCTTTCTTGCTACTCCCACATGCCTCAATCTTTATTTCTACCTCACTGGATATTTTATTCTGGTAATCCTTGGGCTAAGGTAGAATGGATTAAAAAAAAGTCTGGTTCCGACTTCAGAATCAGAATGCCGAATTAAACGAGAAAAAGAGACAGAAAACTTTGAATAATCAAGCTCTTTAGCTCAAGTTTAACCCACACCACATGTCAATGAAGGGAAAGGCCACAAGATGGGCTTGTTCATGTTGCTGAGAACTCCAGTGTCCTTTGTTTTATTCCCTTATCCTGATGTGAATAGGTGGCTACTGCCGGTAAGTGAATTCTATATTCTAAAGGACGTCAGAGGGCTCCCCAGCCCCGAGAACAATAAGCCGTGGACGGGAAATGAAATATGAAGCAAAGCCAAAACCATTACTACAGCTTTGTTTTATTAAGCTCTGTGCTCATGAGATATTGTCAGCTACGATGAAATGTGACTTTTCTAAATGTTATCATTTAATGACACAGAAGATGCCAAAATAAAACAAGCCATGCCCAGATGCTGATGGCAGAGCAAACAGAAGTGGGCATTATAGCCACATTTGTATACACAGTGCCGAAAGCAGGGCAGCTCTCACAGGGTTCCTTTTAGAGATTGTCCTTTGACCACAGAAGGAGGTAACATATCTGTCTGTAGGTGAAATGTCATCCAATACCAATCCAAAAATTCATCTGAATACATTGATTTAATTCTCATTTTCTTTAACTAAAAGTAGTATGAAGACGTTAAATGTTGAAGTATATAGAATTAGGAGTCCTAAAAGAGCTGGAAGCCATTGTTAACAGTGTAGCAATGAAAAAAACGAAAGCTCACTGTGTAAGAACAAGGCCTTTCACTTCCGGATCACAGCACTCTGTCTACACAGAGGCTCTAAGCGGGAAACGTGCTGAAATCGTCTGCTTGATAGTTCATCTTCTAAACCATCGTCTAGAACCTGATGGTGTCCATTTATGTGAGAGAGACCGCAATGCCTAACCTACTTCTGCATGCCATTGTAAGAAATCCTTTCCTCTCCTCCCATCCAAACAACAGCAAAAAGAAAATAAAAACAAGTTTCACAAAATGTTTCCATGTTGCTAAATGTTTTGCTTTAAGAAATATTTGTCACACCAAAACCCATGAGATATAGTTTGCATGTCTTTTATTTGAGTAGAAAATAGCATCTAAACTAAAACTTTGAATTAAAAAAAACCTTCTGAAATGAGAGAGGGAGTCCTGGGATCTTGTTATCCTGTTTATAGTTCAGCCAAATGAGTTCCTGAGTTTGCTGTGACATGTCTTACCAGTCACCATATAATCAGAGACTAAAGACTGATCTCTGACATTATAGAGAATGATTATTTCCAGTAATCCGTGTGTTAAAACCTTAGTTGTGGGCTAGGTTAGAGGTTTGTTTCTTTACTATAGAGCA